AAAAACGGGAAATTATTATTAACAGAAATTATATTCCTTCGATCATTAACTGGCTAAGCCTTTTAAACTCATTATTAGTACGTATTTTATTCAGAAAATTTCGCTAGAAAATAATTATTAAACGCGAACAGAAAATAATAAAAATAATTATATACTCAGAGAGTTGCCACGTGTCCTTTTTATTAGTTATTCTAAAAAAAAAAATCTTGCATTAAAATCTAGAAAGTGGTATATAATTGTGCAGTAGTAATAAAATATTTTAAATTCAATTCTGATACAATAAGAATTAAAAGCAGAGTTGCCACATGTCAGATACAAAGCTTAGAATTTTAGTAGTTCAAAATAATAGCTACTCTATATTTTTAGAAGAAAAACGGTTGATGTAAAATTGCATCGACATTTTTTTTGACAAAGTTTCTTCTGCAGAAATCCAACATTTCTTATGCCTTAAAAATTTAGTATGAAGCTCAATAATCTCGCTGTGGTTCTAACACTTCCAGCAATTGTAATACTAACGAATTCTGTTACATAAGTTGACAGGTCTGGCTTTGTGACAGGAATGACGCTCATGGAATAAGTCTTAACAGGTTTAATATGGCTTTAATTGAAGCATGTTCAAGTTTTGTCTTAACCTGTGAGTCCAAAAATAGCCCATTCGTAATAATTGACATTTTTGTTTTTGGTAGAAAGTTTATTTTTATTGCTCTTGTACTCTTATTATACGAGTGTACAAACATACAACAATCAATCTGTATATTTTTTATTTGTTTTCAAGTGCATTTACGTATAAAATCTAAAGCAGAAATTGAAAATCTTCACTTTTGCGGCCATTAACTTCAATCGGAATTGTGCATTCTTGCGCATCATTTTTCGGGAATTCTTTTTTAAAACGCTCTACACCATATACGGGTACCAGCATGTGAATTTATAACATCCATCATTGCTGCGATGAGGGCTATACATAATGAAAGCAACTCTGAAGCGCATTTATCAAAATGTTTGTAGATTTTCTCAAGGGCGGCTTACGGCGCTTGAATTCAAGGTACACAGTCCATACATAAATATGTATATATATCATATTTGAGGACATTTAATATATAAATGTGAGCATATGTATGTATTTACAGTAAGTCATCAGTCCTTCCTTTCGCAGCAAATAATGCTGCCACTTAGTTGATTGGTACTCCAAAACAAATGGAACATTTTTTCTGCAATCGAAATTGAAAATAAACTTTAGCATTTATTTAAAAAGACATTGCAATTTATGGATTTCTCAAATTACCCCCATTTGGTTTTCGAAAAGCAAGCAATTGAAGCATATTTAGTTTCAATATAAATATAATAAAGGTAGGAAGTAAGTAATATTTATTTAATTCTATCTCTTAACCTTCTACCTACAATTCTTACCTTGTTCAAATGTGCAGGGTCACTCTCTCTCTCATTTCCTTACTCTCTTTCTCACATTTAAAAGTAATAATAAGCATTGCTTTGCACCTAAATGCATTCCTGCGCTTATTTTTGTGTTTTGCGTTGCATTTTAAACTTTTTTCATACATGTCTGTTTGTATCTGATATAAGAGACCTCGTTGCCAACGAAATTTTTTGTTTTGACTTGATATTCCATGTACATATGTTATAGTAGAAAAGCTCCCAACAGATTCTGAATTAACTCTGGAAAGTTGGTGAAGTATTTTGCCCGAAATCCAGCTTAAATTTTATTTGTTTTCACACGAGACCACACATTGAAGTGATCTTTTATTTACCGCCTCATGTTTGGCTCTACAACTCGTCAAATCGGTCGAATATATTCTATATGTCGCTGGCATTGTAATGGTTAACTCCGACTAGGCAACTCCACTCTGTAACTCTGTCTGGGACTCGAGAACATTTCCAACTACCTCTGGAGTGCCAAGTAAACAAAGACATCTTAACTGTCGTTATTTCTTCGAAAATAGTTAAGTTCGAAGATAACATTTAAATTAAGCGGAAACGCATAAAGTCGATGAAGAATATAATCTTATGGTGTTTTCTCAAAGATGTGCGGATGGTTAGGTAAAAAAACTTTGTATTTTCGAAGTGTTAATGTCTACGTTAATAAACCGATGAATCTTTGAAGCAGATTTATTGAAAATAGAATTAAACGCACTAAAAAGTTCCTAATAATAACTTTTCTGTGGTTTATCCTGATTTTAATGAAGTGTGGATTACGAGGCGTCTCTCTCTAGTACTCTCTCTAATACGCTTACTCGGTACCATCTAATATCGAATTACACCATGTTAACAACTACCGCAAACAACATAAATTTAAATTGAATCTTCATTATTTCAATGCTCGGCTTCATAATGGCATACCGTTGGTCCACAAACCCTTATAATTGCCGGAATGTATTCCACATACATACATATGTATATCGAGGTGTTTGTATTTATTTATTTATGCAAATTTGAAAATGCACTTCCAGAAATTTGTTGATTTTACACTCAACAAAGCGTTGAATTGTACGCCTGACAGCTTTACGTAAAGTCACGCCCACTTCGCATACACACTCTGTCATAGAAGCTCACTCATACTCTCCCATAGACGCTCACACTCTCCTACCACCTACAACCAGTGTACAATTTCATATCATTGAACATTTGGAACACTTAAGTCCTTCGGCCGCGACGTTGGCCCTCTTTTATATTTTATGAACACAGCTAAGGTGGTTGGGGGTCGGTGGTCGCTTGGTTGACAAACTCTGGCGCGGGTTTAAAATTTATATTAAATAACCGTAGCGACGGGTCGGTCGCAGGCCAACCAAATAGGGTGGTGTGATATGCTGACAAAATGTTGTGTCCTAGAAATGCAGGGAACTGTAATGTATGAATGCTTGCCAACACAAATTCTTACATTCACACATACATACAACCATGCACCGATACACTCACAAAATACCTAAACGTCGACATGCTATATATTTGTTGTTGGCATTCAGTTGTGGGGCACTTTGAATTGGGGGAGTGTTGCCCTCGATCTAGCTGTGCTGAAGGTACAGTTTTTAGTGTTGAATAAACACACATCCATTTGTATTTGTGTACATATGTATATGTGTATGTATGTATATTTTGGGGTGAGTTCATGCTCTCGAACTGACGGCTAAAGTGGAGTGTTGTGTATACTTAGGATCTCATTGCCAATGCGGCATATTGTATATAGAGACAGTGTTTTGAAGTTGAGCAAATATTACAAAAAAACGCTAATATTTCATTTAGTAATGTAGTTCTCTAAACTTCTTAAATTAACTTTATGTTGGGAATATTTAAAAAGAACGAAGAAAACGTAAATGCTAGAGCTAATTAACGCCGGAGAGAAATTAAAGGTCATTCTTGCGTGTTCTTAACCATAGAGCTCTGGGTTCGAACTGGAAATTATCTCTGCATTAATACCGATTGCTGGACGCTTAATTGTTGGTATTAAGGGGGTATTTTGGTTTAGAAGCCCAAACTTTAGGCTCTTTTTCCGACCCGATAACAAAAATATATTTTTACCATACATTTGTTTTATATATTTTTTATTGATATTTAAAGAGTACAAATCATTTATAATATTTAAAAAAAAAAAAATTCAAAGAATTTCAGGCCGGCAAAGTGGGGACTGATGAAAAAATGGCATGTCCTGGTGTGCAGGATATCAGGATTCCCAGTAACCTGAAATAGAGTTGTTGAGTGATCCTTAAAGAGGAAAGACGTAGTTATAGTTTCGTTATTTTCCTGATTTCCTGATTTTTCCCGTTCGGAATTTTTTCCTTCCAAAAATCCTTTCGTAGTGCGATAGTATAATGTATAAAGAAGCTCTGTATAAAATTTCAAGTAAATCGATTTAGTAGAACTTCAAACATCATGCACACCGTTCCTTTAAAGCTCGCGCCGAGCTGCCAGTCGACTTTGTCGGCGCATCTCAAAATGAGCTGTAAATCCGAAAATAATTGAAATTTCAAAACAACTTTTCAGGGAAATATTCTTAAAGGGTTATATTAAAATAATATACACAAAAAAAGTCGATTTTTTTAAATTTCTAAACCAGAATACCCCCTTAATAATAAAGACTTCGGGCCATTGGTCGTCTTAGTATTCTTAAACAAAATCAGTTCTTAAGTTCTTAGTTCCGAGCTCATTATGACAAGAGTCCCCCTCAAAAAATGTATTATTTACTTTGATTTGGCGTTGAAATTCAAGAAACTAAAGATTCCCGATTCGTCCATCGTTGACATGGGATTCTCAGTTCTAACGTATTTTGTCGCCCAAGCAGTGATTATGTGTTCTGGTTTCTCTCACTATCTTACCCTTCCTTCAAAAGGCTTTCTACCATAATTTGAATACTTGCAAAACGATAAGACCAATTAAAGTAGCTAGACTAAGTAGCTCAACCGATTTGCGATCTCGTTAAAGTTATGTGGGGCCTCTGTATGAACAGCGATTTTCTCGTCTGCTTTATAGCTTTTGGTGTAGCATTTTTTATAATTGGCCGCGCTTTTTTTATTATGATTATTTTATATACCACTTCATTCAATATTGTTTTAAATCTAATTTTCACCCAAAACGTAGAGATAAACGACCACAGTAGTAGATAGTAATGCGCTTTATCTACCGTTAAAGTGACATCAAACAAATACAACTTTGTATCTATAATACCAAAGCTACCGCAATGCTACTGCTTCATCGTTTCTGTTCCACATAATCATACAACCGCCTTTTACCTTAAAGCTTTTTGGCATTGGAACTAACTGTGTATTTCTGTGTGCTCCATATACGCATAGATGGGCAAAAAGATTGAGAAATCCTTAACCAAAATTTAATCAGTTACAATGATAATGAGACTTCTCTAACATGGCATCTAACTGGCAAAGCGAGAAGACCCAAATAGCCGTTAACAGAATAAAATAATAAAAAATGTAAAAAAAAAAGAAACAATGAAACCGTGTCGATGATGACATGATTTTATTTCAATTTCAATTTCATGCGTTTTATTAATACCCACCTATCTGATGCGCCGCTGCCGTTGCGGGGGGCGACGGCCAAGAGTTTGCCGATAACACTGACACAATTTGTCCCAGTATGGCACTAATCACACCTACAATCGTGCACGCGGCGCTGACAACGAAACCGTGCGCCATCGCCGTCGGTGTCGCCTTAATTTGCTGCCATTTTTTTGTTTTTCTTTCTTTATTTCAATTTATTGCTGCCATTAGAGCATTTGTCACTTGACAACTGTCAGTAGTTCTCTGTCTCGTCTTTGTTTTTGTTTCGCACAGCTGAAAATATATTCAATATAATACAATTTTAATTATAATTACAAATTTAATTATTTATTTACTTGTAATGATTATGATTATTTGGTGCAATTCGCGCTGGAGTACACACTCAACCAGCTTAAGCCGTAGTAACTGTGTGTATGTGAGCGCCGCTGACTCTGAGTTAATTAGAATAAAACATTGAACTCCATTTATGAGCGTGAACGCTGGCGCATTGAATGTGAGCTTGGTTTGATTTTTAGTACTGCGGTGGCCTTAAATGAGCGCGCCACTTTGTTGCCTTTGCGCCGCGCTGCGCCTAGCATTTTTCCGCCTCTCCAGCAGCGCCACATAATGTACTTATGTATATTAGTTTGTATGTATGTATGCTTATGTGTAGGTATGTTTATGTGTTGTCTAAGCTTGGTTGATCTGTTGCTTATTCAGTTAGACAGTTAGTCATTCGTTCAATCGGCGTCAGCACTAATTAAAATGGATGTCTGAGGTGAAGGACACCAATTGACAAGGAAGGACAGACTACTAAGCGGTTCTGCTCTGCTCTGCTCTATTATTAGGTTCGATAAATATTCAGATAGTTAGATTGATAGCGTAGTACAAGCACATACACATATATTTTATATACTTACTAGAATTGTATTAGCGCGGTTCTAATCTGGAGCATGAAGTTCGAGTGTTTTCGTTTAAAGTTGAGAGGTCGGGAGTAAAGTGTGTTACTTTATACGTACAGATTTTGATATATAGAAATTTAAAAAAAAATTTAATGCAAGTATTTCGAACATATTTAAAAAAAATTTAAATATTATAAAAATGTATTAATAATAAAAAAAAAATTATCATAGAGATAGGTAAAGAGTTCATTAAATTAAAAAACAAAAATGAACTAGTATTAATAAAAAACAAAATTATTCGAAAACAGAAGAATAAATAAATTAAATAATATTAAATAATAAAAATAGATTAAATTCAAAAATACAATTAATAAACAAATGATAATTTAAAAAGAATATAATAAAAGTATAATAATAGATATCAGGATCTTTTTTTTAAATTTTTAAAATATATTCGAAACCAAAATTTTCAATAAAAATTATAATTAATTGTAGAAATCGTATTGGAACCGAACAGAAATAATTAACCAAGTTCAAAATATTAAAATTAAATATCAAATATAAAATATAACAAGTAAGGAAAGGTTTTGGCAAAACTTTATATCAAACTAAGGAAAATATCGCCAAGATAGAGGATATACTGTTATTAGAAATATACTCTTTCCTGAATTTCATTAAGATTTCTTACATATTGACCGATAGATGCGGTATAAAGCGAAAAGTGAGTTTCGAAAATATTTATGTGAAGTATATGGGGGCTAAGGGAAGTGTTGACTTGCGTTTACCCATTTTTGGCTCAAGTTATAGCGCGATTTCGACAATTTTTGGACGTAAGATGAAATACCTCGAGGACACCATTTGTTCAAAGTTTTATTCTGATAACTTTATTGATGTTTGATTTGTAAAGTAAAAGAAACGGACGGAATTTAAAACTTTGTTATATGGGATTTAGGCGTGGTTATCAGCCGATTTCGTCCATTTTGGCAGTGTCTAATAGTTGGGTAATCTCACACACCAAATTCGATTGAAACTGGTCGAGTAGTTCCTGAGATATTAGATTTTACCTAAAGGTGGGCGGTGTCACGCCCCTTTATTCATATTGTATCTAAATAATTTTGATTAAAATTAAAATTTTTTTTTGTTTATTTGATATTGTTTTTAATTCATTAATTTTTGTAGTTTTCATATTGCTTTGTTTTATAGTTTTTTCTCCCCTATCTTAGTTTCCTTTTAATGTTTTATAATTTTAATTGAATTTTGTTAGTTCCTTTATTTTATACATATTTTTATAATATTTTTATAAGGTCAACAACATTTAATAATATTTATATTTTTTATTGTTTGTTTTATTTTTCATATTTTTTTAATTACATTTTCTTTTCAAATAATATTTTTTTAAATTTATATAATATTATGTTTTTCTTTTGTGTTTTTGTAACCTTATTTTTTAATCTTTTAATATTTTTTATTTAAAATTTTTATTACATAATTATCTAATGTTTTTATTATTATTATTTTTTTTTTTTTGAAATATATTTTAATATATTTTTTTAATATATTAATTTTTATACATTTTTTTTATATATTAATTTTTATATATTTTTTTATTTTTTCAACTTCAAAAAATTACAATAGAAAAAACTTAAAACAACGTAAATTGAAACCATATCGATATAAGGTTGCTGTTGTTCTTGTTTTTCTTTATCGTCTTTTAAGTCATGCAAATATGTTTTATTGTCATTTACTTAAGCGCGCATGGCTATTCAACCAGCTGTGCTCTCACAACTAATAAGGCAACATTAAAATTCATAAATATTGCTTGTTAATGTTTCTTTGTTGTTGTTGCATACGAAGGCACGCGTGCGCGCACATGTCTAAGCTTTTTGCTTGTGATATGTAACAAGGGAGGGAATTAAGTGGCGAAAACAAAAAAAATCGAACGTTTGCTGTCACGTTTACTGGTGATAAAAAAGGGGAAATAGAAAAAACTGCGAAACTAGAAATAACAGAACTATGCATTTCAAAGCAAATTAAACGCTTAACTTGCTTAGAAAGGTTGCCTTGTTGTTGTTGCCGGCTAAAAATATAGTATGCATGCTAAGCCAAGTTTCATTCACTGCCATTGTCAATGAAAACAAAAATACGCACGCACAAACATACATACATTTGTGAACTTAGAAATCGGCTCAGTGACATTTTGACCAAGGGTTAAAAGATTAACCCTGAATTGGCTTACAAGGTAAATTCATTTAAAGATTTCTAATTCCTACGAGAGCATTGTAGTCTGAAAACAGCCTCCGTTGTTTGATTAACATTCAAAAATTAACACTTCAGCCGAGTTCAATGTAATTCTCAAGCGCACAGAAACACTTAAAGCACATAGCATAAGACAAAACGCGCTACAAGATAGGCAACAAATGCGTTGAATCTTCGTCGGTGTTGAAATCTTGCGCAATGTCGCATTGTAGTACAGACGAAATAAAGAAATAGTAAATTCACACGACTAACATAGTTTTAGTGGAAACTAAGCTAATCTAAGCATTGAGTTATGTCGATATACAGCGTGCTATAACTTGATTGTTTTGCTGTGCTTGCAACTTATCGATATCGATAATGTTTTATATACAGAATTAACTGAAAAATATTTATACATAGAAACCGTATTTATCATTTATATAGAAACCGTCATTTTATGCACCATATGTATATACAACAGAACATGAAAAAAAAAGACAGAAAAAATTTGATGATCGGATCATTTGTCTCCAAGTAATCAATAAAGCAAATTTGAAAAATGTAGTTTTGAGAAAAGCTGAATAAACTGTAGGTATATGGTATACCGGGTGCTCAAAACTATTTTTAAATTTTAGTTTTTCAGTTTAATTAATTTGAAATACACATTTTGTCAATGTCTTAATGTTGCCATATTGCTTACTTTTTTATAAATTGTATTTTAAAATCTCCCGACATTTTTTTGATTTTTTATCGGTTGCCGTAACACCGTCATAATACACCCTGAACTAAGGAAACGAACATTGTTTATTATGTTACAGTAGTTGTTGCAATTTCATTAAATACCATTGGTTTTGACGTTTATTTCGGGTTGCTCTTTTTATCTATCATTATTTTTTTATCCAATGTATAACTTTTTGTCACACGACTTTTTTTTTGGTGAATTTTAAGCCATCCTATTGAAAACATATGTATATGTTTTAAGCTTGAACTTTGAATTTTTCTATGACTTTTGAATACAATAGGGACACACAACTTTCAAAGATATTTTTCAACGAGTTCTCTCTAAATGAGTGACAAAAGAATTTTCGCTAAAATAAGCAAGTAAAGCAATAGATCCAGTCGGGATTTTCCGACGAAGCGGTTTAAAAATAAAGCGACTATAAATGTATATTTGAAAAACATATATTGGCGAATTTTCAAACAACCGTAGACAAAATCATTCGGTTTATTGTTAAATCACGAAAGAGAAATTTTTTTCGATTTAAACATTCCTGTTCCAACCGTTTACAAATAAAAAGGGCCTAAAATAATAGCATGACGGGCCTTCAACATTTAGAGTTAACGGTAAGAGTAGTGTATAGGTGCGCTCGTGACATCTGGCTTTGATAAGACTGAAAACTTTGTTTTCTCTATAAAAATAACGGAAGATTATAAATTCTATGACGAACAAAATTTAAGCAAACAGAGTTTAGATTCGATAGGTGCATACATTTTATAAAATTTACGATAAAATTAACATAAATGCACTTATTTTATGGAAAGAAATATATTTAAAAAAAATATTTGTAGAACCAATAGTATGCATAGTTTTTTCTTGAACTTATTATTACAAAAAATATATATTTCATAGTCGTCATTTTGAAAAAAAAATGGAAGAATTTCAGTCTTTTGTTAACAAAACACCTTGATTAGGCGCCCTGCAACAACATTGATCGGCATTTGTTCGAATTTGCCGCCACTGAATATTTTTGTACTTCAAAGCGTCGCACAGATTACTTCTTATTACAATTTGTGTTCCATTTACAATATTTATTTATTAATTTTTCTTTTTCGTTTTTGTTTTGGTGATTGCCTTGCTTTTTAAGTCGTACAGGGCCATACGAAAAATATTCTACAGGGCCGCCACCTCCAAAAATTGTAATGACTACAAACAAAAGCAACTGCTGCAACAACACCCCGTAGTCGTTACGAATGCTAGCAGTGCCAACCACACGAGCAGACGAGCGAACGAGCGGCGACGGCAATAGAAGCAGCAACAGCAGCTGTAAAACGCCTGTGGCAACAGGAAAAGTCAAAGCGACGTTCTACTCACATCTAATTTGTTACTGTACACAAATATACATATATATATATATATATATACATATATATTTATGTAGGTGCGTTTGTGTGTGTAACCATGTGCTTTCGTAGCTGTCGGTAGCATTGGCCTCAGCTGGTTGTTGTTGGTGTTTTTAAAGCTTTTCATTTTGCGTTGGCGTAACACTATTTGACATGCATTGCTATTGTTGTTGCTCTTTTTTTTTTGTTTTTTGTTACGTTTGACCACATTCCACCAGCACAAGCACAAACGAGTTGACCTGAACTCGCTGAAGCAAACGCTAACGCCCAAAGTGTGCCACTGTGGGTGAGATTTGTAGAATTTGCGGAATAATTCTATTGAAGATAATCTAATCTAGGTAAAATCAAACGTAACGACACAATTGTTAGTTAAATGTATTTCGTATGTTTGGAGTTGAAACACAAATCGAAGTTTTATATTCGGTCGGTCCAAAAGCTTACTTAGCCAAAAATTTATAAAAGTATGCTTTCAAATCCAAAATTGACAATAGTACAGAGTGTCTTCTAACTGAAGCCTTCTCTTATGCACCGGTATTGAGCGTATGAGACACTATTGTCAGATTAGATTACAAAATATGTGATAAGCTGCACTTAGAATCTTCAAATTATCTTCTCAACAATTTTCAGCACTAAATAATAACTTAAGGCTGAGTGTTCTTTTGAAGAGATGTTTAGTTGCACGAACTTGAACTGGCAACACCTGTACAAAAGCTACAGTTTGCTGTTGCGCTGAAAATTGCGATGACGTTTTCCTCATCAAATACAAAGTGGTGGAGTTAGGTTATGAAAAATTTCATATTGCATTATTC